AAGTAAAGCTTATTCGATATATTGTTCGTGATATTGAAATATTTGTTATTTTTGTATTAGGTCACTTGAGTAAGTAAATATTTAGATTTACCTCTTGTACATTAAACATAAAAAAATACGTAGTATTTTGTTTATTGTCCTCAAATAAGTCAAATATATCCCTTTTTCGGTGGAGAACTTTTAGAAAGGTTCTATAGATATTTTAAAAATATCGTTGAAAATCTTGTTAAACAGCGTAATATGGGACGCTACAGCTATTAAAAAAAAAAGGCTGACATAATAATAATAAAATTAAAATTTCATTGATCAGATTTTTTTAAATAAACTATTTAAATAACTGCCGGTGGAATTTGTGTACATTTTACACGTTTCATAAAAAAATCACCGTTAACGGATCGTTTTCTATTTAGAACCCGAGAAAGGTTCACGGACGGCTCGTCGTCCAGCAGTTCCTCCGGGTCGAACTCGGGCTGGTGTTCGGGCGGCGCCGCCCGCTACGAGTCCGACCGCTCCTACAAGCCCGACAGACCTCAGCAGTACAGCAGCGACGACGAAACGCCGCTTCTGTTGTACAGGTACAGGGGTTCCTATTTCACCATGCTTCCTGCTGATAGGGGACAAATCTTTGTTTTTCATTTATTTTAATATTATGAATTACTTAAGATGTCATGTGGAACATGGTGTAATGGTTGCAGCTCCTTACAAACGTTGTGTAAAAAAGGGTGCGTGTACTTATGTACGTGCGAAAGAAGTTATACTTCTTTGGCATTATTAAAAATAGTTTTTGATTGCATGCAAATAATTAATTACAATTAAATAATCAAAGACTGGAAAAGGAGTCATTATAGTCAATACAGTTCAGTTTACATTTGAAAAATTAAATAAATAAATGTTTATTATTATTCTCTTACATTAAGTGTAAGATAAATTCTATTATTATTCGAATGATGTTTTTAAACTATGTCCAAGTCCGTAGCATCTTCCGTGGGCAACTTCATTCTGTTAATTTTGTGTCACGGTGCGCGCGCATCGTAAAATTTCACTCTCATCAATTTTTCATAACGCGCCTAAAGAAGTATAACTTAAAAAAAAACATTGCGATTAAAAAGAGTGGCGGAGAGTTTATTGCCAGTTCTTCTCTTCCGTTCTCGGTCCTTGATTTGAGAACTGGCAGTAAATGTAAAATTAGAAGCATTTCATATATTATATTTTTGACGTTCATAAGTGTACATTGTGTTGCTCATTTCAGACAGCGGCAAGGAGACGACGTGGAGGCGGGACCTTCGAGAAGGCCGCATCATCGGGTGAGCATTGATCCTTAACGAGGAATGGAATCTGTGGTCCATTTTTACTTTTCCAAGAAATTTTTAATCCAAAAATTATTTATCATTGAGTTAATCTAATATATAGAATTCTCGTGTCACGGTGTTTGTAATTCCTCCGAAATGGCTCGACCTATTTTCGTGAAATTTTAATTTAAATCTATATTTCATACCCTTAAATTTTTATTTTTTTAGACAATTTTTTTTTTTTTATTTTTTTATGGTACAGCATACAAAAATACATACAACCCCAAATTGTCACCCCTCTACGACCAACCCCTATTTTTATTATAGAAGATAGTTATTTTTATTGAACTAGAAATAATACACATGACAAAGTCAGCTAGTAATATGTATATTCTGATTATCCACAGAAGGGTGTTTCTCTTCGAAAACGTCGAAGCCCTCGGCGCTACAACGAAGACAGCGAAGAAGACTCCATCGCCGCCATCAGTAAGAGGCTGCCTCATCATCAGGACCACCAGAGGCATCAGAGGCTGTTCGCCCGGAGGAGGCAGAATCATGCCCAGGGCACGGGCGTGCCCGGCGCAAGCGCAGCTCCGCACAACGAGGACCACAACTACTTCAACGGACACTCCCATCACCACAACAGTAAGTAAATACTAAATATGCATCGATACGCGTTTTTACCGATACTATTACGAAATCTCTTATAGAAATGTTAAAAATAAAGATAGTCACAAACTTTGAATAAGATTAAAGGTTTAGTTATTAAAATTAAGAATTATTAGTTTATGAAATAAAATAAATAACTGTGAATAATTAAATTTAACATTGGTAAGATTCTAATTTACCAATCACGCGATCGACACGTCACTCTCCCGCCGCCCCCTCTCCCAGTGATACCTAAAAATCGCTTCTGCGCAGACAAGGACATTTGTTCAAGATGTTTGCCGGTATGTGTATCGCCGAAATATCGGTATCGGCATCCCTAGTAAATAGCAATGGAAAGAGCGAGCCCCGATCGAGTGAGGCTCGGCTTTTGTTTTGTTATATGTTTAGTTTCTTTCTAGGGGATTCCCCGGCGGGGTCAGGGGGTTCATCCGGTCCCGGGCCAGTGTCGATCTCCTCCCGGGGACGAGTGCGACGACTCACCGCCAAAGCGAGAGGGCTGTTGCGGGAATAATACAGGCTTCTCATGGGCCTCAGGAGGCTGGCGCCCCTCTTTGTCACCTACAGGGGGCGGGTCAAACGCGTCCTGGCCGAGTAGGCTCATAGGAGCTCAGTTCTCCGTAGCAAACGTTGAAGATTTTTAGTCAATTAACCGGTTTAAGGAATAAGTGTTGTGTTATTTTAGTGGACTTAAAAAGTTTTGACTGTGATCGTCCGATGACTGTAAATACCCACATTTAGTGTTTTTAAGGGATACAAGACTCTAGTGGTAATGTGTTCAAAGCTGTGTTAAGTTTAAGTACCGTCTCACTACCGTTGTTTTTACTAATTGATAAGTTTCTTTATAAATGGCATTATTTTGATGAATAAAAGACTAAATAGCTAGTCTTAAAACCTTGTTGGCTGACATCGATATAGGTTACAAAATGTTTTATGTAAGTGACTGAAAACAAACATGTGATTGACATTACTGCCTGAACATTTCGGTGTTTGTCCATTAGTTTACGTTACACAAAATGGGGCATGTGCCCCACTTTTAGTCCTGCCTTGTAATTCCTGTATAATAACAATAGGTGATATGAAATGTTTTATAAATGATCTGCTCAATCTATAAACTATTTTTTATAATGTCATTGTTTCCAATAGAACAAAAGTTTGACATTTGACATGAAACTGTGGAATGTTGTAAGTACTTACGCACAATTTTCTAAGTGTTAATTGGTTTAGACTGTTAGATATCTGTACATTGATGAACAAATTATAAATTTGGTTGTAAACTTTAAAATGCTAGTATGTTGTTAACAATCACATATGATAATTTTTTCTTATAAAGCAGCGAAAGCCAAGGGTGGCCCAGGGGGTAGTAAGTCGAAGAATATAATTTAAGGTGTGAAATATATATTAAGATATTGACAATGCAATATAAATTGCATAATAAAATCTTAAATTTTTAACAACTGCACGGTGCACCTCTCCGCCACTCTGGTAGCTTGAAAACAGTGGGTTAATCAATCATGATGAATATCATTTATATTTTCTTACCGCATTATGTCTGCAACAGTATAAATGCATGTTATGTATAGTTTAATACAAGCTTAACAGGGAATCTTTTTGTATATGAATATATTGTGAATGATTGTGGATAAATGTGTATAAATTGTAAAACATTACCTTAAGTTATGATGCCATTGGCAAACCGAACCAAACTGATGAAATATAAATATTTTGTAAACAAAGTTGGTTATCTTTTTACCTTTTTAATGCTGATAATTCTTGGGGAAAGTAATAAATAAACAGCTACCGCAGTTAATAAGATGAATTTAATTTTTTATAAAGAAAAATATTAAAACAGGTAACCTATGAAGTCAATTATTCAGTACACAGATATAAATGAAACTAGTCGCTATTTCGTAGTGTTCTGTGCTCTTGTAACATAAAAATTAATCATATTCAACTTCGATAATGTCAAACTGACAGTCTGACAATTGAGAATTACTAAAAGTAAAAACACTACGTTTCTAATTTTGATTTGTGTTTTTGACCTACTAAAATTTTTAAGTTGATTCTAATAAATTGACTTTTTTGTGGAATAATCAATAAGGAGTTGAAGGTACTTCCCAATTTATTATCGAAACTCGGTTATTCTAGAAAATTCCGCTATAACTAGAAAATGCCATTAAAAATTTGTTTTCCTTATTATTTGAATTTTTATTCTAATTGTAGCTAACAGTACAAGAAATGGAACCGCAATACGATTTTGTGAAACATTTAAAATACAAACTTATAATTTTCGATCTATGAACAGGAGATGCAAAATATTATTTTAGTTTTGTATCAGATCCACACTGACTTGTTTAAATAAGAATTCAAAATTAATGTATTTCGTATGTTCCGTATACATACTATGGTACTATAGTTTTAATGTACTGTAACTTGTATGAATTACATCTGAATTTAGAGCAGCTTATCAACTGCCATGAGTCATAATATAATCTAATTTCAGTTTTAGAATTGAGGGTTGGATTTTATTTTATAATATTGTCTTTGGTTTATGCAAAAACATTAAAACAATACTGCGGAACACAAATTTAACCACCATGGACTTTGGAACAAACTTGGCTTATGTTTCAATTTGTATTGGGGTAGAAAATCTATCTCACATCTTTATAAGACCTCTGTGATTTAAACAGGAATAGTATGAGTTAACATGGGAATTTTGTTGTTCACTTTAGTATGCACTCTATAAAATTGAAAGATATTATCAGTTTTGATGCTTTTAATTATATTAAGTTTGACATTAAGAAAATAAGGTATTGAACTAAAAAAAGTAGTGTCTAGTTTTATTGTGGTTAATCTGGTCATATGTTGTGGTTATTCTGTAACTTCTGACATATTTTTTTATATATGTTTGCTGTAACTAGGTACCATCAGCAGATACAATATTTTGTGTTGGTGCCCCATGCCCTATTTACAATATACTATAAAAGACAATTAAATTAAGAATTATCTTATTTTAGTGTGTGTGATTGTCAAATATTAGCTAAAATGGACCCACTTATCGAGGAAGAGTATATAATGGAACCAGACACAGAAACATCAGGTACATTATTTTAAAACTCTGTGATACTTGCATATAGTCCTGGCCAGTTAGTTTAAGCTTGTAGATTGCTGGTAGACTTCTATGCTTATCAACAAAACGTTGCACAGCTTAAAATGTAAATTTTCTTTCCTAAAAACAGTTATTTATAAACTGTTATTCCTATGAAACAGTTATTCTTTATATCTGTACCTTTCTTTGCCAACTTTACGCTTATGGAAACAAAACAGTGTGCTGCACAGTATTTTTAACCAAAATAACTAATCTGTGGTTTCTGCCCACAAAAGTTAGAAATAATTGAATGTTTAACTATGGGAACACATCCTTATATTTATGGATAATAATTTTCAGTATTAGATTCAATATGGAGTGCGGGTCCCGTCTTACTTGGTTCCACTCTGCTAGTGGTATACATTGGTTTCAAGTGGTTCCAACGGCAGAAAGCCAACTCGGACATTGACGAAGCCACAAAAAGTGAGTAATATAGGTTACTTAAAAGATTATAAGAATTTACTTTTCCTATTTAATACACAGCTGCTGGAACAGTACAGACTTGAGGCCAAGATCTAGAAGAATATGTTTATTAGAATAATTTTTTAGATCCAGATTTATATCTCGCTCGGATGGAGGCCATACAGCGAACTCGCGAGAAACAGCAGAGAGAGTTGGAGGAGGCATCGCGAAAAAAGAAGGAAGAGGACATTGAGGTGAGGACGGAAAAATGTTACCATGTTTCTAAAATTTAAATATCTTTGTTGACCAACATATAATTTTGACAGCTGATATTATGTTAAATTTAAATCCATTGCCAGTTGTTCTATTCCGTTCTACGCCCTTGATTTGAGAACTGGCAGTAAATGTAAAATTAAAAGAATTTAATATATATTATTTTTTTGACATTCATAAGTGTACATTGTGTTACCTATATGAATAAATGATTTTTTACTTTTGCTGTGGTCTCTGGCAGAATGTCCAGCGCTGTGAAACACGTCTGATCCACAGCATAATGCCGAGCTTGAGCCAGTTACTACCACAACACACACACATTACACACATAAAATGTACCTTATTCCTTTCCAATTTTTTTTTTGTTATTTATGTGTGTTTTTGTGTGTGTGTTTCGACTGAATACAGTGGTACTTCATATTACTATACAAGTGTTTTGAGATATGAGGGATTGCACACTACACACTAAACTAAAAGTTTCTCGCACGTACGATTTTATTATTAAACTCGTGTGTCGATGTATACATAATACAGTGGTATTGAGAAAATAGTTTTTCCTTTTTTAAAGTGCATTGAAAATGTTTCGCCAATTTCAGAAAGAAAAACGAAAACGCGCGGAAAATTTGGCGAAACTAGAAAAGTATGGGTCAAAGGGGGGACAGAAAGTGGGACATCCGAGTGATGGAGGTGAGAAAGTGATGGTTGGACATAATAATGTTCTTCTTTTATCCGGAATTTGAACTGGAGACTCGATTGTGTCCATCAAATTTCCTAAATCAGTCTGCAATAATTTTAACAAAAGGACTCTTTCGTCTCTTTCTATCAATTTTTGATGACGCTAAGATGAAAAGAGAGATACTTTCGCGTTTCATTTTTTATATTTGAAAGCTAGCTATAGATTTGACATGTTCAAAGCATAGTTTAATTTCCAAACCTGTATATAATCTAAAATTATAAATATTTGTCCACAGAATATCTTCCGTTGTGCGGTGGTTCGTCTTCGTCAAGTTATAAAGCGCCCAAGCGATCCGCTTGCGCTAAAGGCGGTTGTGGGAAATAATAAAATAATATTCTTTTTTTCTTTTTTTTTGTGTTATTGAATTCATTGATGGTTAATGGTTTTCTACAAAATATGTTAATCCAGTTTTGAAATAAAAAAAAATGTATAATCGCTTTTATCTTTGAAATGTATAATCTGTGATTCATCGTCGCTGACAATTGACATGCGACTTGAAGCGCGGGAATATTCAAATGTCAATAGTTAATATATTGAAATGGGAAGCATATCCCACTAAAGGACTAATATCCATAGACATGAGAAAAAAAGCAATGATACTGGCGTCCATTTTATAACTAAAATTATTAATTGATATTTTATATATATATATATATATTTTTTATACATTTGGATGTTAATTATTGGAAAATGTGTAAATAAATGATTTTATAATGTAAATAGGTGTTTCAGCTTTACTTGGTTTATTATTTCGTAGTTAGTATTTATTTATTAGTAATCTTTCAGCTAACATACATATAACACAAAACACTTAGACAATGCTCCCTGCGTTGAGCAAAGTTTTTGAAAAGATAATGCTAGACCAGCTTTCTTTACATTTTAATAAAAATAAACTCTTACATAATAAACAGTATGGTTTCACTAAGGGTCGCTCCACAATCGATGCCGGTGTGAAGTTGATTTCGGACATATTTAACGCCTGGGAAGAATCATATGATGGAGTCGGCGTCTTTTGTGACCTGTCAAAGGCCTTTGACTGTGTTCATCCTGAAATACTCGTTGGAAAGCTTCAACACTATGGCGGTGATGGCAAAGCTTCCAGCCTGATGAATTCATATTTAAAGGGAAGGATCCAAAGAGTTCATGTCAATGGAGTCACCTCTCCGGGTTCGCAGGTATCAATGGGCGTCCCCCAAGGATCGATTCTCGCGCCTTTCTTATTTCTGATTTACATAAATGACCTCCCATTCTTTGTCAACGAAGTTCATGAGATGGTATTGTTTGCTGATGACACTTCACTTCTATTTATATCTGAATAGGAATAACGTATTATTGGACGATGTAAACAATTCTATCTCTCGTATAGTTAACTGGTTTAATGTAAATAACTTACTGCTTAATGATAATAAAACAAAATGTATTAGATTTACAACTACTAGCGTAAAGCGAGATATTGGTAACCTGAAAATTAAGGACAGTGAATTTAATTTTTGTTGACAAAACTGTTTTTCTAGGCATAACAATAGATAGTAAACTCCAATGGGGCCCACACATAGAGACTCTTTCGAATAGGTTGAGCTCTGCAGCATATGCAGTAAAGAAAATCCGACAGTTTACTGATAAGGACACGGCTAAAATTGTGTATCATAGCTACTTTCACAGCGTTATGTCGAACGGTATTTTACTGTGGGGTGCTGCTGCAGAGGTTCAATCCATATTTGTGCTGCAGAAGTGGGCTGTTCGGGGTATTTGTTGTGTTTCTCCGAGGGAGTCGGTACGGAATAAGTTTAAGGAATTAAATATTATGACACTATCTGGTCAATATATTCTTGAAGCCTTGTTGTATGTCCAAAAAAATATAAACGATTTTAAAACAAATGGTGACTTTCACCAGTATAATACGCGAAATAGAACTAATTTGAGTGTACGACCAACCAGGCTCCAAAAGATAAACCACTCCTTATATGGAAATTGAATTCGTTTTTACAACAAACTCCCAAGCGAAATTAGAGAATTATCACTAAATAAATTCAAAGCCCTCGTTAAACGGCAATTAATCAATAAAGCGTTTTATAAATTTGAGGAATACTTAAATGATCGTAATCCTTGGGATTGATTTGCTCCAGTTCAAACAATTTGTATTACAATACTTGGCGATTAAAAAGAGTGGCGGAAAGTTTCTTGCCAGTTCTTCTTACCCGCTCTACGCCCTTGACTTGCGAACTGGTAGTAAATGTAAATTTACAATTAATTTAATTTGACAATTCAAAAGTGTACTTGGTTACCCACTTGAATAAAGATATTTTGAATATACAAAGCCAAAATTGATTACATAGATAAAAAATATATATGAAACAGAAAACATATGTAAGTACATTAATATACAAAAATAAAACAAACAAACGCCAATTAATATATAATATTTCAAAAAACAAAAGTAAATTGTTACTGCTAAACAAAGACAAAGTCGTCACATCCTCTTTGGTGAGGTGAAAAATAACATTGGATCTGATGTTAAAATTAATTTCTTTTCCGACATAATTCTGTTTAGGTTATTACTGCGATAGAACTGCTGAATAATACAAAATCCTAAAGGATGATTTATTAACCTCCATAGATGATAAATGGAACTGTTTAAGACTGACGGCAATGTTCACCTCGTACTTAATAGGTCCCAGCTTGTAAAAATAAACAAAACACTAAGTCCGCCTCGGTCCTTCACCTGTGGAATCCCACAAGGATCGGTCTTGGGATTCCTTTTCAAATTCAAAATCATTGATTAATTTAGGCAACACAACGTACACCTATGAAAGTCAATTAAGAAATACAATATTAAATGGTAAATACTTCTAATTTTACATTTCCTGCCAGTTCTCAAATCAAGGGCGTAGAACGGACGAGAGAACTGGCAATAAACTCTCCGCCACTCTTTTTAAGAGCTTTTTGTTTTACACAATGTTTGTATGTAGCTGCAACCATTACACCATGTTGCACATGACACCCTAAGTAATTAATAATATAGATTTGTCCTCTATCAGCAGTAGGCATGATTAAATAGCACGCACTTACATTCTCGGGGGAACAACACGCAAATACATACGAAGGACAAAAAAATTTGTGTGATTTATAAGGAACGTTATGATATATAATTTGTCATAGTAGTACGTTAATTGATAGAAATATTAGCAGTTAGACAAGTTTCGAAGATAATGGACTGAAATATGTACATAAACGTAATTTTCTCAAAAACTATTTGATGGATATTAAATCAACAAATTGTTATGTCATGTTAGGTTGAGTTCCGCCCCTCCGCGGACGAATTAACCCGCGGCTCCTAGGCCTGTCGTTCCGGGAGGGCTCAGTACCTGGAGCGACCGCATCAATGTCGTCGTAAAGGGGAAGCTAATAAGGAGTTCTAACAGGCCGGCCTTTGCCGCTTTGAAGGCCGGTCTCTGTAGAGGGCATCAGCGCTCAGCCGATGCCGATGCCGATGAGATTCCCGCTAGTCCCTTCTACTGGTTTATGTAACAGATTTTCTGGACTCGGAGCTGTGGACCAAGCCCGCGGTGCCTGTGACTCAACCCAGTATTAGTTTAGGAATTCCGACTAACGAAGACGACACGATAGTCAGACAAGGAGACGGCTGAAGAGGCCGAACGCGTTTAGAGCGCGACGCGGGTTTTTTTTTTTTTTTTTTTTTTTTTTAGCACCTAATAGGCCTACCTTCAAGCTTAAGCTAAACTTCCGTCATTTCTTTCATCCTTCCTCATAATAATAGACAACAACTTTAATTTTTGATTATGGTTTTACACATAGCAATATCACAGTTACAGGTTTTAAATTTTTCTACTTATTCCTATTTCCTTATTCTATTTATTTCTTTTTGTCTAAACATTCCTATTCCTAATTTCCGTGAGTATTCTTATAATACTCAAAGGCAAGTGGGCGCCAATGTTCCACCCCACTCTCACACTCACAGTCAGATTTGTCTTTGATTTTAAACCGGTACAGGTATTCGGCAAAAGCCCCATGACCTGTGAGGACCTGTGTCATCTCAGGACCAAATCTTTTTTCCCTTACTTGTTTATGTGCCGCTGTGACATTTGTCAGGAAAAGTTTCGTGGTTCCTCCTGTCGTTCCTTCTTTGAACCGCCGCGCCGGTCCCATTCCTCTATCGTCTTCCTTCTGATTTCTTTTCTAATGTATGACAGCGGGTACTCTACGTGAGCTGCTCTGAAAAAAATCAAAATAAACTAACGGCTGAGATTCCTGAGAGCGAAAATTAACATTGAAATCTCCAGTTAGAATCATCGGTAATTCATGATAATTACTATTTAAAAGTCGAGAACCTTCAATTGTGAAGTGCAGTAATTGCTGATGAATAAATTTTATGATATTTGACAGCACATGTCAATATAACCTTGTTATTGAATATCATATAATGTCGCAATCGTGAGAAAATTTATTATTAATTTACATATTTTAAAAGTAATAAATCAATAAGTATATATTAAGAGATTTTCAAAAAACTTTTTTCAAGAAACTTTCAGTATGTAGGTTTAGTTTTTATCAAGTATACTAGATGGCGCTAGATGTAAAGTAAAACGCGATGACGTTAGATGGCAAACACATCATAAGAAGTCTATGCTTGTATATAACGTCTTCGACGAGGTTAGGTTAGGTTAGGTTAGGTTAGGTTAGGTTAGGTTTTTTTTTTTTTTTTTTTTTTTATTACCTAATCAGCCTACTCCCCGGGCGAAGTTTATCCCCGGGCCGTGGAATTTCGAGCTAGATTGAAACACGAGATCTTTAAATGTTTATTTCAAAATCTGTAGGTTACATGTTTTTGTTCAATGAGTGTTATTATTTATTACATATTGTTCATTAATTATTTACATCATTACATTGTTTATTTACATATTATCATTCATAATATCTTAGTTTACAAATTCAATGTGGCAATACGCTAGTGTGTTGGCATGCCACAGTCCCTGTTCAGTCTGCGGACACTTTCTATTATTTTGTCGCAAAACTCCTCCAAGCATGTCCGAGTGTCGTCGCGGGACACCAGGTGTGGGAGCTCGTTTTCATTTAAAGAAATTCCAGTTTTCTCCTCCACCTCGTGCCTCGCGACTCCAAACATTGGGCAGCTAAGCAGACAGTGCAGGGACGTTTGCGGCGTGGTGTTGTCACATGGGCATGACGGGTCTCGCTTTAAATTGAATCTGTGTAAGTAACTGGCAAAAGGGCCGTGACCCGTCATGATGTGCACTAAATTTCTCTGTGGTCTGTTTTGTCTAACAAAATTGTATGCCGATTTTATGTCGGGTAGGAACACCTTAGTCACCAGACCCCGCTCACTCTCCGCATACCTCTGCTCCCACTTCTTTATTGTTTCTTTACGAATGGCCCTTTTTATGTAGGATATCGGGCATTTTGTGTACGCCGGTTTTGTCTTTAGATTGTTTGCTGCGCTTCTGGCCAATTCGTCAGCTCTCTCATTGCCCGCAAGACCACAGTGAGCCTTTATCCAATGTAGTTTTATTTCCTTATTATTTTTCTTTGCTATCTTGAGGTTTCTTCTTATTTTCGTTATAAGAGGGTGCCATGAGTTGCCATTGACAACCGCCTGTAGTGCCGATCTGGAGTCTGAATATATGTCACAGGTTTTGTCGTTTGCGGCATTCATGTCCTTTGTGGCTGCCACCAAGGCGAAGGCCTCCGCTTGGAACACTGTGCAGTAGGAAGAAAGCTTAAATTTCCTGGACTTTATTTCGGCCCCATTTTTCCACCAGGAAAAAGCGGCACCGACATCTTTATCACTTTTGCTTCCGTCCGTAAATATTTGCACTTGTCCCCCGAGCTCGTCGCCAAGTCCTCCTCGTTTAGGATAAGTTTGAAATTTAGCAGTGGCTCCTCGGCGGGATGGTCCATCTTGCAATACTCTGTTTTATTCTCGACCTCGATATCGTCCGAGAGGCCCTCCCAGTGTCCCTTTTTCGCCATGTATAGGGTGGCTACTTCAGTTACACGCAGGTCGAGTGGGAGAGTGCCCGAAAGAGCCAGAGCTGCGTTCAGAGACACAGTTCTATTCGCCTTTACTATCTTTTGAGCGAAGCCCCTTTGAATTGCATTTAATTTTTTGCGAACGCATATTTTTTCTGCTGCCCTAGCCCATGCTGCCGCTGCGTAAGTTATGGTGGGTTCCACCACGGCTGTATAAATTGTGGAGACTATATCCGGATGCAGTCCCCAGGTCTGTTTTGCTGCTTTGGCCACTTGTTTATATAGGTTGGCTGCTTTAACACAGATCGTTGACGCATGATCGTTGAATGTGAGTTTGTCGTCTATTGTCAGGCCAAGAATTTTTATTTTGCTTGCCAGTCCAATTTGAACTCCACTCATTTTCAACCTTGGTGTGTCATACTTGGTTTTGTTTGTGATTACCATTGCCTGGGTTTTGCTAGGTCCAAATTTCAGCTTATTATTTTCACCCCATTCCGCAGCCAACTCCAGCGCCTTGTTGCCCTTGCTCTGGACTTCCTCTCCACTGTTACCCTCCACTATCACCAACACATCGTCAGCGAATGCCTGACAATATATATTATTGTCAGACATTTGCCCCAGTATCGGGTCCAGTATAACGTTCCAGAGCAAGGGGCCGCTTATGGATCCCTGCACGCAACCCTTTGTAGTCGATTTTTCTACTTCTTCCCCAGCATATCGAAGCTTAACTTTGCGACTCCGGAGATAGTCATCGTACACCCTTCTCAGGTTGACAGGGCATCCTTGTTCGGCAAGGCGCATTCGGATTCTGGGCCACCACGCATTATCGAAAGCGCCCTCTATATCTAAGGAGATGATTATTGTGATGAGTTTACTTTTGAGGTTTTTACGTACTCGATCCATTAGATTATAGAGGGCGTCCTCAGTACTTCGCTGCGGGATGAACCCGTACTGCCTCTTGGATAGTTTAGGCACAAGGTGCCACTTCAATCTCTCGACCAGCATCTTCTCATAGATCTTTCCCATTACAGGGAGGAGGCCGATGGGTCTGTAGGCTTTTGGTTCTGTGTATCTCGGTCTTCCCGGTTTTCTCAGGATCACCACCGTTGCCTCCTTCCACTGCTTTGGGAAAGATCCAGTCTCCAGGGCTTTATTTATAATGGCTCGATAGGTTTCAGGTTGGCTCATGATGGCTCTGTGACAAATGTCCGCTGTCAGACCGTCCCCACCCGGTGCCTTTTTAGGATTGAAACTATTTACGGCTCTTTCTACCTCAAAGCTTGTAAATGGTGGGTCATGAATATCATTATTTCTCGATCCATCATTCACTCCCTCTGCGTCTGCTCGTACCAGTCTCTGTTCTTCTGTATCCTCACTTGGTTCATCCGGGGGTAGAATATCTCCGCAAGAAGCGTCGCAGATTCTTTGGAGTCGTGGTGTTTGCCATTTGCGACAAGAGGAATGTCCTCCACTCTTTTTGTTGTGCGGTTTACTACTCTATAGATCCCCTGCCACATTCCCTCTCTTTCCTGCCTCGTACAGAAATTACGCCAGCTCTCTGTTCTCGCTTCCATGATCATTTTTTCGTACTCTTCTTTTTCTTTCAGATATTCTTGCACTACCTTATTCCTGCGAACTTGTGCCGCGCATCTGATGCGCCTTTTTCTTGTCCTAACCATTTTTCTTCTTTTTCCAGCTCGTCGTTCCACCAAGGCAAGGTGTTTGTTGGTCTCTTCTTTACTTCTGGAATGGCTTCTTTTGTGGCTGCGATCGTTGCTTCTGTATATTTTCCTACCATCTCCTCTAGCTGTTTCTTATTGCTTACTTTGTTGATATTTTCTGTATTAACTTGAGCTTCTTCCAAGAGCTCAGATAATCGTTGTTCAAAGAGTGACCAGTTTGCCTTTCTGGTATTGTACTTTCTGGTGGTCCGTTCTGTTTTCCTTCCTTCTGATTTCTCGAGTCTCATATTAAACGTGATACCGTTGTGGTCGGAGCTCACCAGTCCTTCCTCAACACTCCACTCGTCTATGACCGCTAATAGGTCCGCGGTGCATGCAGTAATGTCCACGTAACTTCTGTAGCTTTTTCCCCCCCTCACAGTGTCAAAAGTGGGTATATTACTATTGTTAAGTATTTCAAAGTTCATACTGTGAAGGGTATGGTTAGGTTAGGTTAGGTTAGGTTAGGTTAGGTTAGGTTAGGTTAGGTTTTTTTTTTTTTTTTTTTTTTTTTTTCTAGTAGGCCTACCTCCCCGGCGACTTACGTCCCGGGGCCGAGGAAGCTAAGCTCAAATAAGTTTATTCAGAACAAGTTTTTATATTCATATACAATGGTTAAATTGAACATGGTTGGGGTGGCTGAGGGTTGTTTTTGCTATTTGATACAATTTCCCTTCCCTCAGCCACCCACTTTGAGTCCGCGTCTTAAACTATCTTAATCTATCTTATTACTAATGAGATTACAAATTGTTATTTCTATTATAATAATGGCCAAAGTTGCTCTATAAAGGTTTATACAGGTAAAAATAAAAACTACTAAATAAAACAAAAGGAACTGTTTCTCCTTACAACTATTGAACCTCTGATGATACTTAAAACTATAGTACAGGTAACCTGATTAAGTCAGAGTTTTCTCGTTATATTCAGATAAATAAGGTAGATGTACATTAACAATAAAAATAAAAATAAAAATAAAAATAAAAAATACAGTTTGTTCCATACACGCAGGTATGGCGGGCGTGTTTTCCATCTTAACATGAATGACAAAAAAATAAAAGGGCTAATATTAGTAAAACAAGGGTTGTAAGTTGTAATTATTACTTAAAAGTATACGTGTTCACAATAATTATTATAAACGTTGTCTATAATTGTTATTAAATTGCGAAATATCCATTATTTTGTGATCATGCAAAGTAAGAGAATACAATGGCGATACAATGTTATAGTTAAAGTCAGTTAGTACTGATTGTTTCTTTATTACTATCCTAGTTATAATAATGGCCAAAGTTGCTCTATAAAGGTTAATACAGGTATAAATAAAAACTACTAAATAAAACAAAAGGAATTGTTTCTCCTTACAACTATTGAACCTCTGATGATACTTAAAACTATAATACAGGTAACATGATTAAGTCAGAGTTTTCTCGTTATATTCAGATAAGTAAGGTAGATGTACATTAACAATAAAAATAAAAATAAAAATAAAAAATACAGTTTGTTCCATACACGCAGGTATGGCGGGCGTGTTTTCCATCTTAACATGAATGACAAAAAAATAAAAGAGCTAATATTAGTAAAACTAGGGTTGTAAGTTGTAATTATTACTTAAAAGTATACGTGTTCACAATAATTATTATAAACGTTGTCTATAATTGTTATTAGATTGCGAAATATCCATTATTTCATGATTATGTAAAGTAAGAGAATACAATGGCGATACAAAGTTATAGTTAGAGTCAGTTAGTACTGATTATTTCTTTATTACTATATTAGTTATATTGAGGTTGTTACATAGGTGTAATTTTGATAGTGGTAAGCCTTGTAACTTTTACCTCTAATCAGATGTTTTATGTGTTTTGTAGTTCGGTGTTGAATGATTTTAAGTTAGTGATTATGTGTTCAATGTGTAATGTGAATGTCTTTATTGTGCTTTGTTTTTGTATAATGTTTGTTATGTTGTATGGATTAATTTTTAGTCTATGGCAAGTTTCTTCGTGTATTGTTCGGGTTCTTATAAACCTGGGGCAATGCGTGGTTAGGTGTTCTAGGTCTTGTGTCGATGTGTCGTCGCATGGACAAGTATCATTGTCGGTAATGTGGAATCTATGAAGGTATTGTTTTGCAAAGGAGTGCCCTGTGATGAATTGTGTCATGTGAAAAGAGATGGGTATGGCGTTAAAGAATATGTTTATGTCATTTAGTTTAGGAAAAAGGATTTTGGTATGGCTTCCGCCTGGTTCTTGGGCGTATCTCATCTCCCACTTGTGTTTAGTGTCTTTTTTAATTATATTTTTAATATATGATATGGGGCAGGAAATCATTTCAGGTTCTCTATGAGACTTAGCGGCCCGGTTGGCTGCCTTGTCTGCGGCCTCGTTGCCTGTGATGCCCGAGTGTCCCTTAACCCAATGGAAGTACGTTATTGTGTCTATGTGTGTTGTTTTGATGTTTTTTAATATTTTGTGTATGCTCGCTACAATTGGGTTGGTGTTAGATCTTTGTCTTAGTGCTGCTAAGCTTGATTGCGAGTCTGTGTGAATAATGGCATGTGTTATATTGTTATTTTGTATGTGTATACATGCTTTCCTTATTGCAAAGAGTTCTGCTTGGAATACCGAGCTTGTTCGGTGAAGTTTGAATGTTTTGGTGATGGCAGGCGTGTGTGTGTTATCGTTAGGGTTGTAGGCGACGAGTGAGGCACCTGTTGATTCATCCTCGTGCTTACTCCCGTCCGTGTATATGTGTGTGTATTTATCGTATTTTTTGTTGTTATTAAATTGTTCTGTGGAGATAGTATTAATAGTGATGCGCTCGGCTGGGTGTAGTAGTTCTGTTATGGGTACGGGTGTTTCTAATGGTATGTCTGAAGGGAGTCTGTGTGTGGTTCTGTGTATCCTAATGTTCTCTAGCTCCGCCACTTCGGTTATTTTAAGGTCTAAGGGAGTGAGTTGTGCCAAGGCGATAGCCGCGTTAGTAGATATAGTGCGGAATCCTCTTATTATCCGCAAAGAAAATTTCCTTTGTAAGCTAAGAAGTTGTTTTTTGATATATTTTTTCCCCGCTATGTGACCCCAGATCCCTGCCGCGTAAGTTATGATGGGTTGTATGACTTGTTTGTATATGGTTTTAATATTATCTGGGTGTGGTCCCCAGGTGGGACGTGTATATATGATTAATTTGTTAAATAGGTTATGTGCTTTTTGCAAGGTGGATTGAATATGTTCTTTGTATGTAAATTTATTGTCAATTGTAACTCCTAAATATTTAAAACTATTGTTGAATTTTAGTTCAGTGCGTTCGAACCTAAGGCGGCAGAGTGCCGCTGTGGGCGTGAACGCAACGCACTGAGTTTTGTCGGGGCCAAATTGTAATTTGACTTTTTGACCCCACTGTGCAATGGTGTCTAGGGCAGAGTTGGCGTGTAGGGTTAGCGTGGAGGTGTCTTTAGCAGAAACTATAAGTAATACATCGTCAGCGTATGCTTGTATTGAGCAGTGTGGGGGAAGAGTTTTATTAAGTAGGTCGTTGATTAGTATATTCCATAGAATTGGACCGCAAGCAGATCCCTGAATGCAGCCTTTTTCTGTGGTTTTGGTGATTTGGCTATTGCCGAGTCTGACTGTGACTTTCCTATCGGTTAAGTAGTTAGTGATTAATTTGAATATGTTGTTGGGGCATTTGATATGCCGCAGTCCGTCGTATACGGCAGGCCACCACGCGTTATCAAATGCTCCTTTGATATCTAATGATATGGCGAGTACTTGATGTTTGTTTGTTTTTGCCATTTTAATATTGTCAATCGCTCTGTTTATTGCATGCGTTGTGCTTGTTTGCTCGGTGAAGCCGAATTGGGATTGGTTCAATAGTTTAAGTTTATGCGCGTTGTATGTTAACCGCTTGGTAAAGAGTTTCTCCAGCGCCTTGCCGAATACTGGAATAAGGCCTATTGGCCGAAAAGATGTAAGTTCAGTGTAGTTGTTTTTGTTAGGTTTGGGTATGATTTTAATTATGGCTTCTTTCCATTTTAGTGGAAAGTAAGTTTTGTGTAGGCATTGGTTGTAAATGTTTGTTATAAGTACTGGATAAGTTTGTGCAAAGACCTGGCATATGTCGCTGGTTAAGTGATCATTGCCAGGGGCTTTGTTGTGGTTTATGGAACTAATCGCGTCAAGTATTTCTTGTTGAGTAAATGGAGGTTCATCCCGAGTATTAGGCAAGACACCGGAGTCGTCTCTTAACTTGCTGTGGCTAGGTTGGGTGTCTGGCTTGACACTAGGATAAAAATGGTTTAGTAGCTCTTGAGCTGTTTCCTGTTCGCTGGTGGTGAATTTATTGCCTATCTTAAGTGTCCCCATTTGTATATTAGTGGTATTTTTGAGGAGTCTGTTGGTGATGCCCCATACGTCCTCTCTGCCCTGTGCCTCGCAGAAGCTTTTAAACGCCGTGGTAGACGCCTTTTGTAGCGCCTCTCTGTATTTAGTTTTGTTTTCTGTGTATTCGTGTATGAGTGTAGGAGGTGGGTTGTTGTTTTGGTGCCGGCGGAATTTGTGTAATTTTCTATGTATAGTGATGCATTTGTTTTTAAGTGTGTTGAGCTCTTCGTTCCAGAACGGGGCCCTTATTTTCGGGGTCCCCGTTTTAGTCGGAAAAGTCTCTGTGCAGGCTTTATTTACTGTGTCGCTGATTTGTGTAATGAAGTTGTCGATTTCGTCCGGCCCCAGTGCTGAAATATTTGTGTCAAGTATGTCTGTGTTTATCATGTGTGTGTGTAAGGCTTCTTTGAATTGGTGCCAGTTGGCGTTTTTGGTTTGATAGCGGAATGTGCTGTTGTTGTTCGCCGTTGGTATGGGCGCGCTATTACAGTTGATGTTAAAGGTAATTATATTATGTTGTGTTGAAGGGAATAAGTGTTTATTTGTTTTCCAATTGTATATTTGGTTGTGTGTAGAGGCTGATGCTAGTGTTAGGTCAATGATAGAGGAGCGGGGGCGTCCGTGTGTTACTGTTTCAAACGTCGGTATTTCTCCGACGTTACAAATGTACATGTCTGTAGATGCCATGAGATCGAGTAATTCGTCTCCTCTTTTATTCTTTCGATTATATCTGTGACCTCCCCAACTTGAGTGCCAGGCATTAAAGTCCCCGCAAACCAAAGTATGTGTGTTTTTGTGGTTATGTAGGAAGTGTTCAAGCGCATGCATAGTGTCGTGTGCGTCGTTGTCGGGCTCAATGTATATTGAGGCGACGTAAAGTTTTATTGTAGGTGTAGGTATTACGATGATTATTAAATTATTTGTGCAGTATTGTGACAGCGCAAATGCGTTGATGCTTGCCTTGGTGTAAATGCAGGCCTTCGTTCTCCCGTCCGTGTTGGACTGAAATAAACGTAGGCCTGGGATATGTTTAGCTAAGTCGTTACTAGTGTATGGTTCTTGTATGAATGCGATATCGGTGTTATTGTTGATAAAATTAATTTTAAACTCGTGGAAACTATTGCGAGACCTATCTAGGTTCGCTTGTGTAGCTGTTAGTTTGTGTAATGACATATTTATATGTAGTTAACTTTGGCTTGAACGCGGGCGCGCATGGCACTCACTTTGGGGCACTTGTCACTGTCGGCACGGTGGTTAATAGGGGAGCTTCCGTTGAAACGGGCGTTGTGTTCGTGACAGTTTACACAACGGGGGGTTTCAGTGCTCGGGGCGCTGCACTCTGATGTAATATGCAGTGAGCTAGCGCATTTTGCGCATGTGGGGGCCGTGGCGGGACACCTCGATTGAGAGTGTCCGAAGCCTTGGCACTTCCTGCATTGCATGAAGCGCCCAAAGTCCTCCACGTGCACCCGTTGGTACGCCACATTGACGCGGCCCAAGTCCACGAAAGCTCTCCACGCAGTGGGTGTGGTGTCGATAACTATATTATATAGTTTTTCATTTCTGTTTCTCTGTATAAATTTGGTATTAAATTCTAGTGTGCGGAGAGTGGGATTTTGATCTTTGATTGTTTGTATAATTTCAGTTTCGGGGATCTCTTTAGAGATGCCCTTGACCGCTATGAGAGGGTTGTACCTCCGCTCCTCGTGTGCTTTGATTGTATTAGACGTTTTTATTGCCGCGAGAGAGTGCGCTTTGTTTTGTTCGTTTGCGAATACAATTTTTAGTTTTTTATTTGACAGCGGGACTATGCGTAGGGGCGCATAGCCGCCGCGTCTAAAGTCTATTGTGTTTTTTATATGTGTTAATAATTCCTGTATGTTATTAAAGCCTTCGCCCGATATGACCAGCGAAGGTCCCTCAGAGCCTTAGGGGTAGCGGCTATTTTGGCGTATGAGTTTCCAGAGCCTACGGGTTTGTGCCCGTCCGGCCCTTTCATCTCGGTGTTTTCTAATTTTTTGATGAGACCTCGCATGGTCTTATCGGACTCTTGTATCAGTTTGCTATGTGCGTCTAATCTTTTTATTAGGCGCTCCTCCAGGGTGTTGGGTTGGTCTGGTGTTGTGTCGGGTGTTGTTATGGTTGGTGGTGTGGCTTTGGGTTGTGATGTTGGTGGTTTAGGAGGGGAGGGGTAGAGGGGTCAATCAGTGCAACGACGCCGAAAAGGCCTTCAATTGCCTCAGTAACTATAGTTTTTAGCTCACTGGTTAGGTTAGGTTAGGTTAGGTTAGGTTAGGTTAGGTTAGGTTAGGTTAGGTTAGGTTAGGTTAGGTTAGGTTAGGTTTTTTTTTTTTTTTTTTTTTTAATTGTTAGTAGGCCTACCATCCCCGGCGACTAACGCCCCGGGGCCGAGGAAGCTAAGCTAAGGTACAGCTCGAAGTCTTTATTAAAGTAAAACAGATATATACAGTGGTTGTGGATTAGGTGGTTGAGGGTTGGTTTTGCTATTTGATACAATTCTTTTCCCTCAACCACCTGAACAGAGTCCACGTCTTAAAACTAGTAATTATATAAAAAATGAAAGTGAAATATTAACAGGTTATTTTGTGCTTAAATAAGTAGGTTGATAATATAAAATTTTTAACACAAAGTAGTATATAAAAGTGGTTATATAGTTATTAAAGTAACAGTTATGTTTATTATTATATAGGTATTAGGAATTAAACGCGGGTAGGTTGTTGAGGGTCGGTTCTGCTATTAGATACAGTAACCTTCCCTCAGCCGCCCAATTTAAGTCCGCTTCCTAATACTTACATTAAACACAACGCAAACAGAATTTAGAGCTAAAGTAAAATAAAAATGTAAAAATACACACTGGAATGAATAAAACAGTTGTTATAAAATTAAGTTTAAACAGATTGGCTTTAATAATGAGCCTGTAAATGACTAAGCTGGTGTTTGGAGTTGGACACGGGTAGGTTGTTGAGGGTCGGTTCTGCTATTAGATACAAAAACCTTCCCTCAGCCGCCCAATTTAAGTCCGCTTCCTACCACCAACATTAAACATGACACAAACAAAATTTAGAATTAAAGTAAAATAAAGGTGTAAAAATATACAATGGAATGGAATAAAACAGTTGTTATAAAATTAAGTTTAAACAGATAGGCTTTAATAATGTGCCTGTAAATGACTATGCTGGTGTTTGGAGTTGGACACGGGTAGGTTATTGAGGGTCGGTTCTGCTATTAGATACAATAACCTTCCCTCAGCCGCCCAATTTAAGTCCGCTTCCTAACACCAACACTAAACATAACACAAACAAAATTTAGAATTAAAGTAAAAAAATAAAAATGTAAAAATACACAATGGAATGAAATAAAACAGTTGTTATAAGATTAAGTTTAAACAGATAGGCTTGAATAATGTGCCTGTAAATGACTATGCTGGTGTTTGGAGTTTGGAGTTGGACACGGGTAGGTTGTTGAGGGTCGGTTCTGCTATTAGATACAATAACCTTCCCTCAGCCGCCCAATTTAAGTCCGCTTCCTAACACCAACACCAAACATTACACAAGGAAAAATTTAAATTTGCAGTAAAAATAAAAATACACAACAGAATGGAATTAAATCATTTGATATAGAACCAAATTTAAACAAGTGAACATAGGGAAGTTTTATATTTGCTTAGAGTTATATTAAAATGAATTTACCCAGTGAGATGGGATTCAACTTATGATATAAAAAAAATTTAAAATGGAATTAATATTATAATTTATGTTTAGTACAGATGGTATTTGCACAGCAAGGTATGATTTAAATAAAAGAATAATCGTAAAAAAAATAAATCTAGGTTAAATATTTAAGTAGTTAGTATAATAATTGTAAACAGTGTAAAAGGTTATAGATGGAGAGAAATGACTATATACATTTTTGTACGGGTGAGGGCGGATTACTTGCCGATTAATTGTTAAATATGAGTGAAAAATATAAGAAATATTCATTTTGAAGGCTTTGATAGTGCACACGAGGTTTGGGAAGGGTTGTGTTTAATAAAGGGTAGGGATTGTGGTTGTTTTCGTGTTTTAGTGTAGGTAACCTAGAGGAGGTGCAACGTGTAAAGGTCGTTGAAACTTTTGTCGTTTTCGATTTTAAAGGAGGTTTTGTATAGGTAGACAAATGCTCCAGTGCGAGTGCTGCGCGTTGAGGTCGTGATTAATGTGAGTGTTTGATTTGTTTGATTGTGTGTCATTATGTTATTTAATGTTAAGTTAGTGTTTTGTGTGTGTTTTAAATGTAGTTAATTTTTGCCTCAACGCGGGCACGCATGGCTGTAACTTTGGGGCATTTGTCTGAGTCGGCGCGGTGTAGAGTGCCGGTGTTGGTGTTGAATTGTTTGTTATGTTCTGCGCAATTGGTGCAGTTGTGTACTTCGGCCTTGCACTCCGCTGTAGGATGGTGAGCGGAGCACTTGGCGCATGTGGGTGTGGTGTTGGGGCAGCGGCTCTTTGTGTGTCCGAAATTTAGACAGTTTTGACACTGCCTAAACGGTGAAAAGTTGTCACTGTGGACCCGCTGCATCCCTATGTTAACTCTGCCTAGGTCGGCAAACGCCTTCCAGGCAGAGGGTGTGGTGTTTAGTACTGCGTTATATAGTGAAGTGTTCCTATTGTTAGCTATGAATTTGACGGTAAATGTATGTTTAGTTAAGGTGGTGTTTTGGTCTTTAATTGTTTTTGTAAGCTCGAATTCGGGTATGTTTTTAGAAATCCCTTTAAGTATAATCATTGGGTCTATGCGTTTTTCCTCTTGAGTGTTTATTTTTGTGTTATTTTGTAATCGTGAAATTGTGTGTTGTTTATGCTCTTCTCTTTCGAAAACGAGTTTGATCTTTTGTTTTGAAAGTGGGGTGACCCTTAAAGGGGCGTATCCGCCCTCTCTGAAATTAACGGTTCTACTAATTTGAGTAAGTATCTGTTCTGTTGTGTCTAGACCCTCTCCGGACACGATGATGGAAGGCCCTGCAGGGGGTTGGGGTGGCGGCGGCCTTAGCGTAAGATTTATAAGTCTTATGCGGGTCCGCCGACACTGGTTGTATCTCCGACGGCGCGGGTTTAGGGGATGCCTTAAGAACCCTGGTGTGTTCCTGCAAGGCCTTATTCGATTCATCGAGTAGCCGAGAGTGGGCCTCGAGTTTCTGTAGTAATTGTGTGGTGTATATATGTGTATCGGTTGGCGGTGTAATCGTTGAGGGTGTAATCGTGGCTTTGGTAGCCTGTGGTGTGTGCGGTGCGGGGGCAGGAGGGTTGGGAGGGGTGGTAGGTGAGGGGTCAATGAGGCCGACGACCCCGAAGAGGCCTTCGATTGCCTCTGTGATAGCAGTTTTTAGCTCCCCTTTTAAGTTGCGGGAGGCAGCGAGAGCTTGTAGGCCCGTCTGCCTGTATTCTTTGGCCATCTCCATATGAGCCGACTCTGTTGGGCGTTTTACGCGAGTGAAGGCCGGGCTCAACATCTCTACTAAGGTCCGTCTAGCTGGTGTTGCGGACGTTGAGGGAGTAGGGACTTTGTTTGTTGGTTTGGGTGGAGTTCGGGGTAACATTTTGCTGGTGGAGGGTGAGGGGGGGTGAGGGGGAGCTGAAATGTGGACAGGTGTATTCACCTCTTCGAGCTGAGTTGTTTGATACCCAACTCGAGGGGGTAGGGGTGAGGGGGGAGATTTTGTAGCAACGGGGGGGAAAAACCTGTTTCGTGGGGTGGAGGGGGGTTTGCGAAAGGAACAATGTACACTATCAAATAGAACTCGCCGAGCCGGTTTAAATAAGCCCAAGCTCGACGGGTTTAGGATAAAATTTAGAAATATTAAAAATTTATAAATATGGGGCTGGTAATCCACCCTACCTGAAGTTTAAGAACAGGATTGCTCAGCAGCTGTTGCTCGTAGGGTAGAGGTGTTTGTTATTTTCTGGTTGCCCTCGGAGAGGACAAGCCGCTGGTTATGGTGCTGGAGCTGTTCCAGCTGGTCACCAGACAATCTGGTGTCCAGTTGGGTGGTTGGTAGAGTTTACTATCTTGAGAATAAGTGGTAAGGTAAAGTCAATTGCTGGCTATTTAACTGTAGTAGACTTGGATTTTTAGCTGGTGTGGTTCCTGTGGAAACCCTGGTCCTAAAGTTGTTTTGGGTCGTATCCTCTGAAGTATACGTCGGATCAATATGTTCTTGGTGTCAGCAGTTGCGTGGTGACGAGCTAGATCTGGCCGTTCTAAGTTCTTAGTGGTGGTGTAATGTCTGAGGGTGGTTCGCCCCCAAAAACTGTTTTCTTGGGGTTTGAGGGGATATTCCTCCTCCGATTTGGACGTCCGATATGTCTTTAGTTGCCTTTCCGTCTAGCGCTTCTAATGAATATAAAATATGGTTCCTATCTCTTAGGGCTGCAGGCTGGGCGATAAAACCCCTGGTTTGGTCTCTAATAAATCAGCCCTAATTCCAAAAATTATAAATTGGATATCAAACGATAGCCCTTGACGAGGACAATCTTTTTAAGCTATAAAAATATGTAGTTATCGATCCAAATTAAAAGTTATTCACCTTTTAAGGGTTTTTGCTCCAGATTATCTTCAATTTTGAGTCCTTATCCTCAAATTTTTTGTCGAAATGTAGAGCTTAATTAGCTCTACAACACTGCACTACTTTTTGATTTTTAAAGTTATAAACACTATTTTTAAAATGGTAAAAACGGAAAATTTTAATGTTTTTTGAAGAAATAAAATATAAAACATAAACTTAAAAAACTGAATTTAACACTAAAAGATAGATCGCGATAGCGCGCATCTAATGATATATCACACTGCACTGATATCTTACGAAATACCACTTTTAAGATTTTTAGAAACTTTTTAAGGCGCGGAGCGACGTGGATTTTGACTGTTTCGGGTGGCGTTTGGACGCGGACTGGTTAGGTTAGGTTAGGTTAGGTTAGGTTAGGTTAGGTTAGGTTTTTTTTTTTTTTTTTTTTTTAAGGACCCTAGTAAGGCCTACCTCCCCCGGCTACTTTATCGCCGGGGCCGTTGTTTATCGAAGCTCCTATCAGTAAAACTACAGAGAATTCGATTCTTTATTTGGGGGATTTGTCAAGTTTGTTTTACATAGATTTTTCATCATTTACAATTTTTGACATACTTATTACTTATTCTATGTTACATTTTCATTGCTTTATTTTCTTATATTCATTACATACTTTGTGTGTATATACTATAATAACATTCTTATTTCATTTTACATCTATTATTTTCTTAACTTCATAATTACATCCTACTTTCTATTATAATTTTCATTTTGATATTTTCCGGGGTTTGGAGGAGGAATTGGAGGAGGAATTGGAGAGGAGTTGGAATTGGAGTAGGGCGGTTGTCGGGTGAGCTCGCGGCCGGGCTTCTCCTTTAATATTACAACAATATTCATGGGCGAGCTACGGTCGGTTGCACATCTCGACTCCCGCTTCCGCTTCCATTCATTTTTCTAGTTTTTCTGACAATTTCTTTGCAGAATCTCTCCAATTGCAGCCTTGAGTCCTTCAGGATAGTCGGCATCTCTGCACTGGTCATTGTTTTACCCGTTTGGATTTCGAAATCATACCTAGATAACCCCATTATTGGGCATTCTAATAGCATATGAGTAGAGGTTTGTGGCGTAATTTGGTCACAGGGGCATGCCGCGTCGTCTTTTAGTTTGAATCTGTGTAAATATTCTGCGAATGCCCCATGACCTGTGATAACCTGTACGGTGTGCTCCTCAAACATTTTGTCCTTTACTGTTTTATAAGCCACTTTTATGTCTGGCAGGAATTCTTTTGTTTTTGCTCCAGTCTGGGAATGAGTATATCGCGTCTGCCAGGCTTCCAGGGTTCTTTCCCTTATTTTTCGTTTCACTTCGGAGAGCGGCCGTTTATCATATTCAGGTTTTGTTTTGAGTTTTTCGGCCGCTTCCTTTGCCAGCTCGTCCGCTCTTTCATTTCCTGGCGTGCCAATGTGCGCCTTGAGCCAGTGGAGGTTTATTTTTTGACCCCTCTTTTCCGCTTCTCCAATGGCTCGGCGGATCTTGACGACCTGGGGGTTGCAAGAGCGGCTATGAGTGATAGCCTCTAGGGAAGCCTTGGAGTCACTATATATGTTCACCTCTTCTCCCTTTAAGGTTCTTGCGTATTCTGTGGCGCTTCGTAGGGCTGCCAGTTCCGCCTGATATACTGTGCAGTATGAAGCTAACTTTATTTTCTTTTTCTTGACTTCTACCCCTTCCCGTATGTATACCCAGGCCGCGCCCACTCCGTTCGGAGTTTTGCTTCCGTCGGTGTATATCGCGGTTTGCACTGGGGTTTCAGCGTCGGTGTACTTTATTGCTGGGCGGTCCGACGGATGGGGTAGTTTGTGGTAGGGAGTGCGGCTCTCAATTTCCTCCTCGTCCGAATCCACGCTCCGCCCTGTGCGGGCCTCATATAGTGCGGCAGCTTCTTTTATTCGCATGTCTAGAGGAGTATTCCAGCTAAGAGTGTGGCCGCTCCACATGAGACCGTTTTGTAACTTCTCGATATTTTCTGAGCGAAGCTTCTTTGTACTCGTTCCAGTTTTTTGCGGAGACAGACCTTGTCCACTTCAATTGCCCACACTGCAGAGGCGTACATAATTATTGGTTCTACCACTGCTGTGTAGATGGTCGCTCTTATTTGTTGATTGAGTCCCCATTCTACTTTCGCTGCTCTGCACAATTGTTTGTATATCCCTATTGATTTTTGGCACACCTGGTCTACGTGCGCATTAAATGTAAGGCTCGAGTCCACCTCCACTCCCAGTATTTTTATACTTTTTTCCATTTTTATTGGCTCTCCATTCATGCTCAAAATCGGGTCATCGTATTTTTAGTTTGCGCGTCACAACCATTGCTTTGGTTTTGTGAGGCGCAAACCGGAGCTTGTTTTGGGAACCCCATTCGTATACACGAGCCAGAACCTTGTTTAGCTTGGTTTGGTTATCTTGCCCCGTTTCCCCTTCTGATATCAGGAGTATGTCGTCTGCGAAGGCCTGGACGTGTACTCCTGTCTCTTGTATCTCTCTGAGGAGTGGGTCCAATAAAAGGTTCCAGAGTATGGGTCCGCCGATCGATCCTTGTACGCACCCCTTTGTCGTGTCTCTTTCTACCGTCTGGCCTGCATAAGTTAGTTTTATTTTTCTGTCCATCAGGTAGCTATCCATGATTTTCCTTATATTACGAGGGCATTTCTCTTCCGCCAGTCGGACTCTAATCATAGGCCACCATGCGCTATCGAAGGCGCCCTCTATGTCCAACGACACCACCGTTAGTATCTTTTTCTGTATCAGCTTTCTGCGTATATGATTAACCGCGGTGTAGAGAGCGTCTTCCGTACTGCGTTGGGGCATGAATCCGAATTGGTGTTTTGATGTTTTCGGTACTAGGTACCATTTCAGGCGCTCGACGACCATTTTCTCAAATATTTTCCCCATCACTGGAAGCAGTCCAATGGGCCTATATGACTTTGGGTTATCGTAGTTAGCTTTTGCCGGCTTCCTCAAGACCACTATTGTCGCTTTCTTCCACTTTTCAGGGAAGGTTCCCAGCTCTAGGCATTTATTAGCTATGGCGAGAAATAGACCCGGAGCTGCAGTTATTGCGTTCAGGCCTATGTCTGCCGTTATGCCGTCTTCTCCAGGAGCCTTCCTTGGGTTGAAGCTTTGGGCGGCGTTTGTGAGTTCTTTCATTGTAAAGTGGGGATCATGGTTTGCATCATGCTCCCCTTCATTTACTGTTTCTGCTTTTTCTCTGATTTTTCTATGCCCATCGTCTTCAGTTCTTGTGTCATCCTCTGGGAAGAATGTTTTTGCGAGTAGTTCAGCCGACTGTTTTTCATCTAGTTGCTTTCCCTTGTCCGTGAGTGGTATGTCGTCTTTCCTTCTTTCCGTGCCTCTAATAACCCTATATATTCCCTCCCACATGGTTTCTCGCTCCTGTTTCTGGCAGTATTGTTTCCAGCTTTGCGTTTGTGCTTCCTCTGCCTTATTTTCATAGTTTTCCTTTGCTTCAAGGTAGTCGTTAATTACTTTTTGTCTTCTACACTCGGCTGCCCATCTAATTCTTCTCTTCATTGTGACAACCCGTTTTTTAAGCCGCTCTAGTTCCTCGGTCCACCACGCCAGACCAGGCTTTGACCCTGTTTTTATCTTGGGGATTGCGGTGTCGCTTGCTGCGATTACCGCGTCACTGTATAAATTTATTGTTTCTTCCAGTTTGTCTGTACTGTTGATATTTTGTATAGTTAGTTCAGTGATATGCTTGGTATTTAATTTTTCTAATAAGGATTCTTTGAATAGGGTCCAATTAGCTTTTCGTGTATTGTATATTCTTGTCGTGCCCTTTCGCACTTCTATTTTGGCTTTTGTCATATTAATTTTGAATAGAATGGCGTTGTGGTCCGAGGTTGCTATGTACGGGTCCACTCTCCAGTCCTCCACGTGTCCTAGGAGGTCTTGTGAGCATACTGTTATGTCCAGATGGCTGGCGATTCGCTTTCCTCTCCGTGTAACTTCAAAAGTTGGCTCTTGTCCATCGTTTATAATGTGCAGGCCAATTTGAGCCACTGCGTTCTCGAATGCTTCTCCTCTGTCGTCGGCCACTGGACTGCCCCACCATGGGCTCTTAGCATTTGCATCTCCTCCTAGGATTATTCTCTTCCGAATCTTGCTAGCGACCTCGTCCAGCTGTTTCAGGTAAGGTTCTATGAGTTTTGGGGCCGGCTCCATGTAATATGAGACCAGCGCAATGCCACCCCCCTCTGCTGTTTTTATTTTTATTGGCACTGTGTTGGCAGTGGTTATCTCCGGGTATTGTATTATATCAATATCCGCGTCGAAAATCACCACCGCAGCCTTTACCACTTCACCTGTTTGAGGTTTCTGACACTGCACTACTCTCACTCTTGGGTAGTCCTTCATTTTCCCTATCGCACCTATATAGGGCTCCTGTACTAAGGCAACTGCGATTTTTCTTTTAACTGCCTCTTGCATGAGTTCTTCTGTGGCGAGTCTTTTTCTTTGCAGGTTTATTTGTACTATCGTTATTGACTTTGTTTCTGCCTGGGTGCCTTTAGCAATACGCCACTCGGCTTCTGGCTATACTGTCCATCTTTTTTCTTATCGGGCAATCTGGGTCATTTGGGTTGTGTGATGTTTGAGTCACATTCGCCTTTTTGCAATTCACGCATGTTGGGGAGGCTCCATCTTTGTAGTTTGGGCAGTCAATTTTTAAATGTGTTCCTCCACAGTGGTAGCAGGTTGTCTCCGTTTCTTTGCAGTGCTTCCGGCCGTGACCATAACCAAGGCATTTGGAGCACTGTATTAGCGGCGATTGGTCAAACACGGCTATGCGTTGAAAGTCTATGTGGACTTTACCTGCTGCTGTTAACTCCTTCCATATACGCGGGGACACCTGTAGTATTATGTGGTCTGTAAGTGGGTTTCTCGTTTTTCTCCTATATTTCACCTCCACTTTTATTTCTTCTGTTGGCATGTTTCGAAAGAGCTGCTTGTTTTGGTTTAACAGCGCGCTCACCACTTCTTCGTCGGTGTGTGTGCTTATCACGCCTCTGAGGGCGACTAGTGGGTCTTTAGTTCTGGCTTCTTCCACTGTTAGTTTTTGGTCGTCCTTGAGGCGGTCTCTGATTTCACTTATTCTTGTCGTCGAGGTGCACCCAATGACAACCCTCTGGTCCTTGACTTTCCGGATTCTATCGACATTTAGACCGGTGTTTTTGGTGTCGATTTTGCTTCGAATTCGCTCCAAGATTTCCCCGCTGGTTTCTGGCCCAGAGGATTTTACTATGATGGAGTGCATGCTCCTCTGTAAATTTAGAGTTTTACTCGATTCGTCCTTATTAGTTTCAATGTTACTTCGTTTGATTGCTGCCGCTTCTGCGTATGTCATTATCTTTCCTTCTATCCTTTTTTCCCTTTCCTCCTCCTCGCGTCTGTATTCTCTTAGTTCTTTTCTTATTTCTTCTACCATATTGTTTCCTTGTCCTGTACCAAGGGCTTTTTTGTCCTCTTTTAGTTGTTTTCTGGTTTCCTCCATCCTGTCATTTTCTATTTCCAGACGTTTTATTTGTTGTTCTAGTTTTTCTGTATATGTTTTACTAGCGTCTCCTTCTTTTTCTGCCACTTCCCTACTTCCCCTTTCCTTTTCCTTCTTTCTGTCCCCTCCTTCCTTTGTTTGGGAATCGACCTCTTTCACCAGCTCGTAAAGTCTCCTTACTGCCGAGGTAACCGCTGCTTTTATTTCACCTTTTAAGTTTCGGGCGGCGTCGAGCTGCAGAATAGCGCTCTGCTGCACTGCCGCGGCTTCCGTGAGTCTGTTTTTGTAGGGCTTTTGCTTTTTTGGCCCTTCTACACTCCGAGCTATAGCCGCTTCCAGTTCTCCGATGCTTTTTCTCACTGCTGGGGTTAAGGTCGGGGTCGGTGGCTGTACAGGGGCCGATCCTTCCCTCTCCTCTATTCCAGTAGCATGGGGTGACGGGGTGGTGACTTTTGTTGGGGTGCGTATACCAAACATTGTTTATGTTTTATTTTATATGTAGAGTAAAGTAGGCTGTGGTGTGTCAAAGTATTATAAAATGCAATCTATATAATGCAATCTATATAATCTATATAATACTAAGCTTATACTAGGGTCTGTCCCCAAAAGGGGTAGCAGCCGTCAAATTGTCAAAATTTGTTTATAACTTATACTAGGGTCTACCCCTAAAAGGGTGGTAGCCGTGTCAAATACTTATGTCTAAGAGGGTTTCCAAAAGGATAGCCCCTGTCACTTAGCCTAGTGTCGCAGTACTGATACCCTTCGGGAGCGGTGTATCACTTATTTTAAGAGAAGCGCGCGAGAGGGCCACCTGACCTTCACCTTATATGTATGTGTGTGTGTATGTGTGTGTGTGCGTGTGTGCCTTGGCACGTGTGCAACTACTCGAGGGATCCGCTGCAATCAGCGGAGTCGAATGAGGTGCTACACTTGAATTTCTGGACCTGTATTTGTGTGTGTGTATTACTGTGCGTGCGTGTGTTAATTCGAATGTCAGATTGGACAGCCGCAATCTTTTCCCCGAATCTCGGGGAGTGGAACGAGCCGTCGCACTTATGTGTTTGTGTGTGAATTTATGTCTTCGTGTATTTGTGTGTGATATTTATGTCTGTGTGTGTGTGGGTGCGTTGATAATGGGATCAATAGACTCGCCTTTTTACGGGGAGTCGATAGAGCCGTCACACGTGTATGTTCCGTGAGGTTGCAGTTTTGCTCCCCCAGGGGGTGTGGTAGTAAGGCGGGGGTAGGGGGTCCGAGGTGCGGTGCACGCGACACGTCCCTATAACCCTTTTCCAACCTAACTAAGCCGAAAATGATGTTATTTTTAGCCTGGCGTGCACCGTTCTGTCCAAAATTGTTCTTGCTCTAATATATTAAATATTTCCTTCGTTAAATTTAGAAAAATAAAATTGAAAAAATTTTTGAGATTGGTTCCCGGTAGGGTTCGACCAGGCGGTAAAACTCCAGTATACTTTTAGTATACTGGATTCGGCCTCAAAATTGCGCTAAAATGCACCGTTCTCGAGTTATCCCGCACTTTTCCCCTTTTTTCTTCCCAAGCTCCTGGAACCGCCAATATTGGTCAAAAATTTTAGCCGAATATATCAAAATGACAGGCTCGTCGAGATCTATCCCGTGAGCCTATCCGCGGCGCAAAATAATGGCGAATTCTCCGACCACGTGCCACGTGGTCTGGAGAAAAAAGTTTCCAGGAGCTTCAATTTATAAGGGAAAAATCTGGGATTGGTACCTTTAAATAGATCTCCGCGCGGCGCTTCTGATGAAGTAAAGAAAACGTGGGGTCCTCGATCTGGTTCTCCCGCAATTCTTCGTTAAAGGTGTTATAACCTGTTTGTTTACTGTTTTACACTCGTAAAATTTTTCCCCGGTGATGCAGCAAAAATCTAAGACCACCTTCTTGTATAACTTTTTGCGGCGCTTCCGATGGTGGTATTGGTTTGTTCAGTTTCTACCCCAAACTGGGACCACGTGCCACGTGGTGTTTCTTTGTTTTTTAAATATCTCCCGATTTCGTGGAGATAAAATTCTTGAAATGGTGTCAAAAGATGGGGCTCGACAAGCTCTATCAAGATATGTCAGATAATATGTATGTCGTCGATCTTATTTGGGTGCCGCATGCACTTTTGTGTGGAAATTTTTGTGTTTTTCCAGTTTTTTGCACTTTTTTATCACTTTTTTCACTTTTTTCACAACGAGAATAGTACCACTAGATTTGCCGTCGCAAGATGCACACAAATCACTACTTTGTTTTGTTCACACGCGAAAAAATCCTATTTTTAGGATTTTTTACAGTAGATTAACTAGATACAGTAACCTTCCCTCAGCCGCCCAATTTAAGTCCGCTTCCTAATACGTACATTAAACACAACGCAAACAGAATTTAGAGCTAAAGTAAAATAAAAATGTAAAAATACACACTGGAATGAATAAAACAGTTGTTATAAAATTAAGTTTAAACAGATAGGCTTTAATAATGAGCCTGTAAATGACTAAGCTGGTGTTTGGAGTTGGACACGGGTAGGTTGTTGAGGGTCGGTTCTGCTATTAGATACAAAAACCTTCCCTCAGCCGCCCAATTTAAGTCCGCTTCCTACCACCAACATTAAACATGACACAAACAAAATTTAGAATTAAAGTAAAATAAAGGTGTAAAAATATTCAATGGAATGGAATAAAACAGTTGTTATAAAATTAAGTTTAAACAGATAGGCTTTAATAATGTGCCTGTAAATGACTATGCTGGTGTTTGGAGTTGGACACGGGTAGGTTATTGAGGGTCGGTTCTGCTATTAGATACAATAACCTTCCCTCAGCCGCCCAATTTAAGTCCGCTTCCTAACACCAACACTAAACATAACACAAACAAAATTTAGAATTAAAGTAAAAAAATAAAAATGTAAAAATACACAATGGAATGGAATAAAACAGTTGTTATAAGATTAAGTTTAAACAGATAGGCTTGAATAATGTGCCTGTAAATGACTATGCTGGTGTTTGGAGTTGGACACGGGTAGGTTGTTGAGGGTCGGTTCTGCTATTAGATACAATAACCTTCCCTCAGCCGCCCAATTTAAGTCCGCTTCCTAACACCAACATTAAACATAACACAAACAAAATTTAGAATTAAAGTAAAATAAAGGTGTAAAAATACACAATGGAATGGAATATAACAGTTGTTGTAAAATTAAGTTTAAACAGATAGGCTTTAATAATGTGCCTGTAAATGACCATGATGGTGTTTGGAGTTGGACACGGGTAGGTTGTTGAGGGTCGGTTCTGCTATTAGATACAATAACCTTCCCTCAGCCGCCCAATTTAAGTCCACTTCTTAACACCAACACTAAACATTACACAAGGAAAAATTTAAATTTGCAGTTAAAAATAAAAATACGCAACAGAATGGAATTAAATCATTTGATATAGAACCAAATTTAAACAAGTGAACATAGGGAAGTTTTATATTTGCTTAGAGTTATATTAAAATAAATTTACCCAGTGAGATGGGATTCAACTTATGATATAAAAAAAATTTAAAATGGAATTAATATTATAATTTATGTTTAGTACAGATGGTATTTGCACAGCAAGGTATGATTTAAATAAAAGAATAATCGTAAAAAAAAATAAATCTAGGTTAAATATTTAAGTAGTTAGTATAATAATTGTAAACAGTGTAAAAGGTTATAGATGGAGAGAAATGACTATATCGACGTAGGAAAGCACATTTGCTGTAAGTAGACATATTGCAATTGTTCACCAGAGCCAAAAAACTTTATTAATTTCGGAAAAAATTAATAGTGTCTGACCTATCCATGATATTGCTACCATTTTTGAAACATATATTTATTTAACTGCCAGTCACCATTTGCAATGTAATCTTTTTATCCAAAGTTACTATAAGTACGTGTTTGGCTAGTTACAGCAAACAGTTTTTTAAATCACAAACCTTTAAAACGCTGTAACTAAGGAAGAAAAATGTACGCGCGGAAATATTATCAATTTACAGGCGGTAAATATGCTGTATGCAGGAAATTTATGTATTTGGGTACTTTTAATTGCAATTCAAGATGTAAGATTAGTTTATAATTATGATTAGATCTAGAAATGCAGTGGGTCATTTGGTAATGTAATGTTTGGTTGAAATAAAATGTCGTAAATGGTAAAAAAAAACCAAAACTGTAGGTTCCCTAAACTAGCTGTAAGTAAACGAATGTAAAAATCACACGCCGCTGAAATGCTGTAAGTAGCGTTAAGTTTTTAAATGGGAAGAAGTAAGTATTTGTAAAGAAAAAAATGCAGATTTTCTTTTGCTGTAAGTGCAAAATGTCTGAAATGACTAGATTTTGGTCTACATACAGCATTTAATCTTGCTAAAAATAATATAAGTACGGGCGTTTTCAACGGCGTATGTAATTTTTTTTTCATCGTAGAGACACAGGACCCAGGTCATTCGATGCGGCTTTTTTTGCTGATTCTAATGGCAGGAAAAAGTCACTTTAGGTATTTTGTCTACTTACAGCAAATATGCTTTCCTACGTCGATATACATTTTTGTACGGGTGAGGGCGGATTACTTGCCGATTAATTGTTAAATATGAGTGAAAAATATAAGAAATATTCATTTTGAAGGCTTTGATAGTGCACACGAGGTTTGGGAAGGGTTGTGTTTAATAAAGGGTAGGGATTGTGGTTGTTTTCGTGTTTTAGTGTAGGTAACCTAGAGGAGGTGCAACGTGTAAAGGTCGTTGAAACTTTTGTCGTTTTCGATTTTAAAGGAGGTTTTGTATAGGTAGACAAATGCTCCAGTGCGAGTGCTGCGCGTTGAGGTCGTGATTAATGTGAGTGTTTAATTCAGTGTGTAATTGTGTAGTTTAATATGAAGTTAGTGTTTTGTGCATGTTTTAAATGTAGTTAATTTTTGCCTCAACGCGGGCACGCATGGCTGTAACTTTGGGGCATTTGTCTGAGTCGGCGCGGTGTAGAGTGCCGGTGTTGGTGTTGAATTGTTTATTGTGTTCGGCGCAATTGGTGCAGTTGTGTACTTCGGCCTTGCACTCCGCTGTAGGGTGGTGAGCGGAGCACTTGGCGCATGTGGGTGTGGTGTTGGGGCAGCGGCTCTTGGTGTGTCCGAAGTTTAGGCAGTTTTGGCACTGCCTAAACGGTGAAAAGTTGTCGCTGTGGACCCGCTGCATCCCTATGTTAACTCTGCCTAGGTCGGCAAACGCCTTCCAGGCAGAGGGTGTGGTGTTTAGAACTGCGTTATATAGTGAAGTGTTCCTGTTGTTAGCTATGAATTTGACGGTAAATGTATGTTTAGTTAAGGTGGTGTTTTGGTCTTTAATTGTTTTTGTGAGTTCAAATTCAGGTATGTTTTTTGAAATCCCTTTAAGAATAATCATTGGGTCTATGCGTTTTCCTCTTGAGTGTTTATTTTTGTGTTATTTTGTAGTCGTGAAA